ATGTCTGAATTAAAGCCTCTACTGACTAGAAATGCTGCGACATGCCCCACCTAACTCTAGCAAAACTGAAACTAAAGCTAAAAGCAAGGAAGGTAATCATATCACTAGTCCTCGAAGAATGAGGACTCACCACTGATGCTGCTGAACTGAAGATTGGGAACTGATCTATGCGTGATTTCACTGTTGAAGACCTGAACCTACATCACGAGAAGATGTAGCACAAAGTATGTGTCAATACTTGAAAGGTACTAAGCATGCATGATAGAGTAAAGCTAAACAATAATCATAACTTAATAAAGCAATAAGATCATGATATAAATATTGATATATACTGAATATTAAGCTAACTAAATGCAATGGCCAAGTACATGATATGCTGAGTCTGAATACTGATCTATAACTGATAACCTGGTCAATGCACTAGAATCTGACTGTACTGTGAGAGCTACAAATAATCGACATAAAACCACATGAGCTAAATGTATAGTATGGTGTATACGCCCTATAGAGAGGACCCAATATATCCTGCCAGAGGTATAATGGCATGACTGGTGTGATCATTAAAATGATGCCCACAGAGGGGCCTTACAACATACGGGGCACGTAGTTCTTGGACTATGAGGGTGTGCTGGAACCCTAGTCCTCTCGGTATTAAGCTACTCCCAATTGATAAGAAAATTAACACATTATGACTAAATTACCTAATACTAGATAGCTCGATGTTCTGACATGAAAACTTTGAGAATGCAACAATTATATATGATAATATGACATTCGAAACTGAAGCATGTATATAACTAAAAAAACTGGCCTAGCATGTGTAATTCGTGCACTAAAGGAACTACATAGCTAGAATTCTGAATTTCATGCAAGAAATTGAGCAACAACATGATAATCTGATTTGGATCATTCTAATAACTAAAACCCAACAATTTCTAGCATTTAAGAAACCTAAGGTCTAGATATATCAATGGAATCAAGATTCTTACTGAAATATAGGGACCTAATGGATGAATGGAACCCACTAGTAAAATCCCACATACCTGGTGACAAATTCAACAGAGAAATCTTTCGATTTCGACGCTGGAACTAATGGAACCTTGTTACGTTCTTGAACTAGGGTTTTTGACCTCTTTCTCCTCTTACAGTCTAATTTATCTATGTTTTGATGAATGATATGACTTAGGTAGGTTGTATTTATATTTCTAGGCTAAAACTGACCAAAACTACATAGTTTAGTGCTCGAGTTGACTAGTTCATGCTCATAATTCCGCATGAACCCTCTGAGTTGAGCATTCTTGAAATGAGTAGTATCATTGAAGTTCTTGAGTTTTAAGTATTGAGTTATATCTATGGTTATCGAAAACCTTGCATTGAGTCGTTCACGTCCATAATTCGACATGAACCATATTTTAAGAAGTCTGTTACAGACGTTTTAACTTTATTTTATACTTAAGCTTTAAGTTGAGTAAAGAGTAAGAGTAAAGTTCATTTCTTCAAAGATTATATGGGAACCAAGTAGTCCCAAGAGTTAAAATGTTTTCACATTTTTGCAAGAAAGGGAACACCAATTTCCAGGAGAACTTTTAAGATAAGTTTTGAGTAATTTTCTCAAACCAAAGAAATAGTTTTGTTTTTAAAAACATATGAGATGAGTATATTTTGGGAGTAGTATTGAGCACCGATATGGGGATTCGAGTTCATAATAACTCAAGTCTCCATAAACCATGTGGCCATCATTGATAGAAAGGATCATACTTTTTAGATGATTCCTTAGTTCTTTTTAGCATAGACTAGTGGATCCACTTAGTTAAGGTGTTCTATATGACGACAAATTATAGAACAATTCTGGTAGTGTGGAAAAAACGATCTATCATCACTTATGATCATAGTGGTGGTTATCGATTAGAAAACTCCCACAGTATTATATTACTTTATATGTAAATTGAGTTGTTATGGTATTTCTTTAACACATTGAGTTGATATCTACACGTTTACAACTTTCCATATATATTGCACCTTTTACTATTGTTTTATCCTTGAGTATCATGAGTTGAGTCTTTCGAGTTGAGTATCTTGAGTTGGACTGTGCTTCATTGAGTAGAGTACCTTATGTTTGAGTTGAGCCCCATTTCACTGAGTTGAGAACCTTATTACTGAGTTGAGTATCTTATCCTTGAGTACTCTCGAGTTGAGTAAGTTTGAGAAGAGGTAAGTATGTTTCCCTTTTTATCAAGTTCAAGCTTATGTTATGCTTTAGAATTCCCCTTACATGCTCGTACATTCCACGTACTGAGGCATTTGGCCTGCATAATTTCATGATGCAGACACAGGTATTCAGGATCATCAACAGGAGCTTCGTTGATACCACATGGAGTTCGAGTTAGATATGGTGAGCCTCCTTGCTTTCGAAGGGTTCCACTTTTACTTTCAGTTATATCAGTTGTTAGGAGGTCGTGGGTCTTGTCTCGACTTCCATCTTTGTTATTTAGAGGTTTTATAGATAAACAGTAGAGTTTCAGAAGTCTGTTCATTTATTTTATTAAATGTTTTAAATACTTAACTTGCCTATAATGGGGCGAGTTGAATATTCTATTATTATTTATAGTTATTCATTTTAGTTAAGGATTTGTAAGTTTCATGAATTTTATTTTGGATTTTGACTGCAAGTTTTGGTAATTAGAACAATTCAACCATACCTAATTTACTTTCATTTGTTATTTGTCTAGGAGATAATAACAACATTCGAATAAACGCGATAGTGAAACCTTATCTGTAAAGAAATTCTCTGTGGGATCGACCTCAACTCTAGTTGAGTTCTGTAAATTAACTTCGACCGTTTACACTTCTTATTTGAAGTGTAAGTTTGGACATATCAAAATTTGGTGCCGCTGCCAGGGAATTTCAATTCAGAAGTGTTTTACTAGCTTTTATTCGATTGTAGTTATATTTTCTAATTTTACCTTTTGTTTGTTGTTTGTGTCTTTTTCAGGAGAGTCAGATTGTGCATGCCCAACACTAGATGTTGTTTGTGTCTTTTTTAGGAGAGTCCAATTGTGCATGCCCAACACTAAATGTAAAGGAGCCCCATTGCTTCCTTACGACCCTGAATTTCAGAGAACTCTTTGAAAGATGGTTAATGCACACGAACTAGAGGCTCAGAGACACAGACTAGGACTAGAAGCTTAGATTGATGCTTCAAGAAATGTACATCAAACTGCACGATTCAATCAACCTAGGCCAGGTTTCAGCAAAATGTTGGAATCAATCAACCTAGGGTAGTAGTGGAGAATAGAGGGCAGGAAGGAGTAGTCCATCCCCAGCTCCAACCAATAGCCCAAAGGAGTAGAGCTCAACATCCAACTCATATGATGTATGAAGAAGACAATGTTGACTTGGACGGAGCTGGAGCCACTGGAGCCATAGTGTTACCTGCACTACCTCGAGGTGTTAAGTTCACAATCACTAGCACCATGATTCAATTGTTGAACCTGAAAGGTATGTTTAGAGGTGCAGCTGGTGATGATGCAAATCAACATTTGATGAATTTTGTTGCAATCTGTAAATCACAAGATATTCCTGGGGTCAACCAAAATACAATGAGGTTGAGGCGATTTCCATTGTCTCTTACAGGAGAGGCAACCAACTAGTTGAATGAGATGCCAGATGACTCCATCCGAACATGGAATGTGTTGAAGGAAACTTTTCTAGAACGATTCTTCCCAGAATCAAAAGCGCTACAGATGAAGGACGAAATTAGTACACACAAGCAGCAACCAGGAAAGGCAACGCATGATACTTTGTGGAGATTCAATCAAAACCTAAAGAAATGCCCCAACCATGATCTTACCGAAAGACACCTTAAACATGACTTTTATAGGTCTTTGAATTATGTTACTAAACCTGTTGTTGATGCAGTTTGTGGAGGCTCATTTATGAGAAAGTCATTTGCGGAGAGCATGCAACTATTGGATGAGGTCTCAAAGAACAACAGAGCATGGTACACTAGAGATGCAGAGGTAGGAGAGATTGGGTATACATTTGAGCTTTCAGCTGAGCAGAGGAAGAGAGAAGAAGAAAGAGACCAAGGTATGGCACATATGAGGATTCAGATAGATTTGCTCACAAAGCACATTGTCACCAAGTTTGAAAAGGTGAATGTTGTAGGACAACAAAACAGGTATGAGGATTAGGATCTTGACCTTAATGAGGAAGCTAACTACTTGGGGAACCAATGGGGTTTCCAGAATTATAACTCTGGAAATCAGGGTTACAATTCAGGAAATGCAGGTCGGAGCTATGCTAGTGATGGTCAGTATGATAGGCCAGCAAATAGAGAGAAGGGAAACTGACCGAATAGAGATAGGTATATGAATGATCGCAGTGATGTTTATGTACCCCAAAGTAAGAGAAACCGAGCAAGTGGTAGTTCCAGCGGGTCTAAGCTGGAAGACATGATGGCTAAAGTACTCTAGAAGGTTGAATCAATTGATGCAGGAATAAAATAGATGAGAGGGGATTTTTCGAGCATGAGTCAATTGGTAGACTCTCACACTACCTCCATCAAGAAAATTGAGCAGCAGTTGGGGCAACTCTATGCCTCACTAAATCAATGAAATAACGTGTCGCTGCCAAGTGGCACCATTCAAAATCCAAAGAAGGACGGGCATTACATGGCCATAGCCACCAGAAGTGGTAAAATTCTTTCTGACCCTATTCCTGCAAGTACTAATAATGAACATGTGTTGGAGCAAGCTAGCAAAGAGGATGATGAAGCCGTGTAGGAAGATGACTTGGAGGATCCTCAGCCTAAAGCACTACCTATCAGAAGAAAAGGGAAAGGGGTCGAGGAAGACATGCCTTGACAACAAATTCCCAGGCCACCTCTTCCTTTCCCTTACAGGCTCAAAAATAAAGATGAGGACGGGAAGTTTACAAATTTCATCACCATGTTGAAGTAGCTTTCAGTAAATATACCACTGGTGGAAGTCCTGGAGCAGATGACAGGATATGACAAGTTCATGAAGGACTTGGTTACAAAGAAAACAGTTGTAGGTCTTAATTTTATTAATGATGTTCATCATGACAACACCATTGCGACCAAATCTTTGGTTCAGAAAAAGAAAGATTCATGTGCATTCACTATCCCATGCACTATTGGGTCAATCAGTTTTGCGAAAGCATTGTGTGACCTAGGAGCCAACATCAATTTGATGCCATTAGCCATCTACAAAAAACTGGGGTTAGGAGATCCAAGACCTATATTAATGAGCTTGATGATGGCTGATAGGTCAGTTAAGCGGCCTGTGGGAGTCTTATGTGATGTGCTTGTGAAGGTGGACACCTTCATTTTTTCGGTTGACTTCACAATCTTGGATTGCGAAGTAGACTTTGAGGTTTCCATCATCTTGGGAAGACCATTTTTGGCCACTGGAAGGGCCTTGGTTGATGTTGAGAGAGGAGAGTTAAAGTTCACACTGAACAAGAAGGAGGTAAAATTCAATATTTGCAGGTCAATGAAGCAACCCTATGACATGAATGTGATATCTGCAATAGAGGTGGTTACTGAAGAAGACATGAGGGTACCCATAAAAGAGAGAATAGTGGTTGAAATATTAGCAGCAGTGCTGATGAACTTTGATGCTGATTTCCGATTTGACTATGTAGAGACCGTGAATGCTTTGCAGGGGATGGGAGCACACTCGTATGCTCTAAAGAAATTGGACCTGGACTTGAAAAATAGGCCAAGCCCTCCAGCAAAACCATCCGTTGAAGATCCATCGGTGCTAGAGTTGAAAGAGTTACGTAGTCACCTCATATATGTATTTTTGGGGACTAATAACACTTTACCTGTGATTTTGGCTGCAGATTTAAATAAAGAGTAGGTGAAAGAGGTGATCATGGTGTTGAGAAGGTACAAAAGGGCCATTGGGTAGACCATTGCAGATATAATTGGAATACCTCCGGGTATATGCACCCACAAGATTCAGCTTGAGGAGGATTGCAACCCAAGCATTGAACACCAGCGGAGACTAAACCCACTTGTGCAAGAGGTGGTGAAGAGAAGATAATCAAGTGGTTAGATGTTGGGGTTGTCTACCCCATTTCTGAAAGTCAGTAGGTCAATCCAGTGCAATATGTGCCCCAAAAAAGCGGTATGACTGTCGTGGCAAATGCCAGAAATGAATTAGTCCCACAAAGACCAGTCATTGTTTGGCGAGTATGTCTGGACTACAGAAAGATCAATAAGTGCACATTGAGGGATCATTTCCCCATGCCTTTCATGCACCAGATGTTTGATAGGTTAGCAGGTAAATAGTGGTATTGTTTCTTAGATGGGTACTCTGGCTACAACCAGATATCAATTGCTCCTAAAGATCAGGAAAAGAACGCCTTCACATGTCCTTATGGTATCTTTGCATTTAAACGCATGCCATTTGGACTATGTAATGCACCAGCAACATTTCAAAGGTGTATGATGTCCATCTTCTCTGACATGGTGGAAGACACTTTAAAGGTATTTATAGATGATTTATCTATAGTAGGTGATACTTTCGATGATTGTTTGTTGAATCTTAGCAGGGCTTTACAGAGATGTGAGGAGGCCAACCTGTTGCTGAATTGGGAGAAGTGCCATTTCATGGTGAAAGAGGGCATAGTTCTTGGACACAGGGTATCACGGAAGGGGATCGAGGTCGACAAGTCCAAGATTAAAAGTTACCTCCGCCGATCTGTGTGAAGGGTCTTCGAAGCTTCCTAGGACATGCCGAATTCTATAGGCGTTTCATCAGGGACTTCTCCAAAATAGCACACCCTATGTGCAAGCTTTTGGTGAAGGAGGTTAAATTTGTCTTTGATGAGGCATGTCTCAACGCTTTGAGTGCCTAAAAGAAAAGTTGATTTCAGCACCAATGATTATTGGCCCAGACTGGGCAGAACCATTTAAGGTGATGTGTGATGCTAGCGGGACTGCGTTAGGAGTAGTGTTGGGACAAAAGTGCAATAACATGTTCCATCTGATTTACTATGCTAGTAAGTTGCTAAATGGGGCACAACGAAACTACATAGTCACTTAGCAGTAACTATTGGTTGTAGTGTATGTGTTTGAAAAGTTCAGAGCTTACCTATTGGGCACTAAGGTGATAGTTCACACAGACCATGTTTCTTTGAGATATCTCATGGGAAAGAAAGATGCAAATCCTAGGCTGATCCAATGGGTATTGCTTCTCCAAGAGTTTGACTTCGAAGTGAAGGACAGAAGAGGTTGTGAGAACCATGTAGTTGAACATATGTCTAGGTTACAAGCTGCAAAGAAGGAAGAAATTGAGCTCGAGATAGATGACACATTCCTGGATGATGAGGTATTAACTGCTACTCTTGACCTAATTCCTTGGTTTGCTGACTATGCTAATTTTCTGGTTAGTGATTTGATGCCTGAGGGGCTGACATATCAGCAAAGGAAAAGGTTTGTACATGATGTAGGCAAGTACTTTTGGGATTAACCATATCTATACAGGGTGTGTGCTGACAATATAATTAGGCGATGTGTTCCGGAAGTTGAAATGTTGCACATTTTGGAGGCCTGTCACTCATCTCCAGTTGGTGGTCAGCATGGTTGTGCTTGAACAGCCCACAAGATATTTCTGTGTGGGTACTACTGGCCCACAATTCATCAAGATGCAGTGGACATAGTAAGGAGCTGTGATGTGTGCCAGCGGCAAGGAGCCATCTCTTGGCGCCATGAGTTACCCATGACACCAATTCTGGAGGTGGAATTGTTTGATGTGTGGGGTATTGACTTCATGGGCCCCTTTGTGAATTCATATGGGAAGAAATATATACTGGTGGAAGTGGACTATGTGTCCAAATGGGTTGAAGTTGTTGCATTACCTGAGAATGATGGAAAGAGTGTTGTTGGGTTTCTTGAAAAGAACATTTTCTCAAAGTTTGGAACACGTAGAGCCATTATCAGTGATGGTGGTTCTTATTTCTGCAACAAGGTTTTTAGTGCACTTCTGAACAAGTATGGGGTAAACCAACACAAGGTGGCAACACCTTATCACCCATAGACCAGTGGCCAAGTGGAGGTCTCTAATAGGCGAAGACAGTGAATGCCAACATGACAGATTGGGCACGGAAGTTTAGATGATGCTCTATGAGCATATCAGACAGTATCAAGACATCTATTGGTATGTCTCCATATCAGTTGGTGTTTGGAAAGGCATGTCATTTGCCAGTTGAGCTTAAGCATAGAGTACTCTGGGCGTTGAAGAAGCTGAACCTAAATTGTAGCGAAACCGCAAACTTGAGGCTGGATCAGATCAATGAGATGGATGAGTTCCGTCTGAGGGCCTATGAGAGTTCTGCACTATATAAGGAGAGGATGAAGCTATATCATGACAAGAATATTGAGAAAAGAAGCTTCACTCCTGGTGACTTGGTGTTACTCTTCAACTCTAGACTGTGTCTGTTTCCAGGAAAACTGAGGTCTAAATGGTCTGGACCTTTTAAGGTCACACAGGTGCTTCAATCCGATGCTATTGAACAGGAGAATGATTAAGGTGAGAGGTTCAAAGCTAATGGCCAGAGAATAAAGGCATATTTGGGTTTCCTTGATGATGTGAAGATTGTCAAGGAATGCAAACTTGATGAAGTATGAGTAATCCAGTAACCTGCATCGCGCTGCGAGGTTAAATTGTGCGCTGCTTGGGAGGCAACCCAAGATATAATTTTATTAGGTATTTTTCCCTTTCTCCTTATTTTTCTTTGTTTTTATAGAGTCATTGTGTGCTAATGTGTGCTGGTAAGCTTAGGTGAAAAATTGCAGAAACTGGTGCAGACTAAATCTCACGGATCGTGGTGTCCTTCACGGGCACTTTCACGGTCAGTCAACTTGGGGACAAACATGAGGGGGCTACTAGAAATTGCATGAAAAAGGATCAGGGAAGGGTTTACGATCTGTCAGCGCTTGTATAGACCTTCTAGCCTCTCGTGAACCACAAGTATGAATACCAAGTGTCCAAGTCAACATCACGGGACTTTTCAGGGACTGTGGTGCTTGTCATGGACATCTTCACAGTTCGTCGTCAGCCCCAGGTAAGTTTTTCATTCCAAGTACGATCCACTGACAGTCTCACGGACCATTGGGCCCTTAACGGGCACTTTCACAGTCCGTGGTCTACGACCTAGTCCTCCCAAATCCAACCCGACCTGCGCATAGTTGATTTAAAAGTCATGAAGTGTATAATTGATTCCAAGAAAAATAAGGGTCAGATTTTAATTTTTTCTCGCTTTTCCCTCCCATAACAGTCCTTAAGCATTAAAGGTACTTCCCACAACTAATCGATCCCAACCTCTTCACCAAATTCTATGCCCTAATTCTACAATCTCCCCACGAGTCCCGTCTATGCTGTTGCTTCCCCTATTTGGATCGAAAAGTGTGTTTCTACTCTGCAAGTAAGTTCTTTAGTCAAGTTAATTCTAGGATAGTGATTATGTTGGATTCTTGATTGTCCGAGTAGGTTGTGAATTCTAGGATAGTGATTATGTTGGATTCTTGATTGTCCGAGTAGGTTGTGAATTCTAGGATAGTGATTATGTTAATTAGGAATTGAGATGATGCTTAAGATAAAGGAAGGTTGTGCATTTGTGTTAAAATGGGGGTTAATTGCTAGAATTTGGTATTAGAACGAAGGTGTGTGAACTGTTGGTCAAGTGTAAGACCACGACCGGTTTCACGGACCGTGGAAGAGACCACGGGCCGTGAGACCTGTCGTGGACCACACTTGCATCAACCCATCCATCAAAAAAATTTCACGGGCAATGTCATGATCCGTGGTGCACTCCATGGGTTGTGGAGATGTCCGTGAACACCCCTTGGTAAAATGTTCCACAGTCCATCTTACACACTGACTCTGTCCTAACCCCACGAGTTATTTCATGGTCCGTGGTGCATACCACGGGCCATAAAAGTTCTTGTCCAGTCTACTTGAGTTGTACAATTTTAAAGTTTTTATGTTTTCAATTTTTGTTCGTTGTTGGTTCCGTGGCCCTTCTCGATGATAGATTGGGTGACGACGTTTTTAAGGCAAGGCGTCACAATGATATTACACAGGGGAAGTCTGAGTACCCGATAGTGCGTCATTTGATTGTGTTGATTACTAATGAGCTCTCTATTTCTGAGGTACAATGGGTCGCATAAGAAAGAATGCTAACAAACCTGCCTCCGTCACGGCTTTGCAATTAGAGGGTCATGACGACTCCAAGCGAGTGGGTCTGACGTGCAAATAAATGTCACACCTGAAGATCACTCGCCTCAGGCTACTAGATCACTGGCTAGAAGAGCTATTCTTCAAGACTCTCCTCCTCAGGTTGAAGATGGAGGTAGCAGTTCTGATAACGGGGAAAACTCGGGAAGTCAATATGATGTTACTGCTCGCAGCTAATCTGCAAATGACTTGGGGGGTAGTGCTGAATCTGAAAGCGATTCTCAGGATGACACAAATACCTCTCCATCTGTGGCTAATACAGAAGCTGAAACTGGAGTACAAGAGGAAGCAACTAATAGAGAAGATGAGGAGGAAATCACCGATGAAGATACCATGATGATGTATGTGAATGCTCAAGAACCTAACCTTGCAATGAGACCACAGCTGATTGCCTGTTATCGCTCCATGTGAACTGTCAATTGGTCTAAAGAGTTCTTCGACAATGGCATTGTGAACAAAATTGGAGGCTTCAAGAATCGAGCAATCATGCCTGAGACTAGGGTGGTGGTCACTGATATCAAAGCATTTGCGGACATCTATCAGATATTTCAGCTTCATCAGTTCGACTGGATAGACAATGCACTTGGCGAATACTCTAGCCACCTGACCAGATAATT